TGTCAGGCGTCAGATCCCAAATCAGTTAGGTGCGTCGCCCTTGGATACGGACGTCCTTGGTGTCAAGTACGTTTGGTCAGCCTGGTGTTTCGGAAGCGAAGTGTTGGAGTGGCGAGCGAGATGTCTTGAGTTCGGTTTGGGGAGTTCCGAGCTGCCATGGGCCAGCTCGGGTCAACTTTGTGAGGCTTGGGGCCTAATATAGTTCGTGCTCCTTGCAGGGAGCTCGGGTTCAGTAGGGAGCTCGGATTCTCAATAGGGAGCTTGGGTTCTTAATAGGGAGCTCGGACTCCCCGTAGGGAGCTCGGACTCTTGGTAGGGAGCTCGGGCTCCTTTTAGAGCGGTCTGGTGGAGTTCGGGCTCAGTAGTGAGCTTGGACTTGCTTTCGGTGCTCGCTTCGGGTGCTCTACTGTCCCGAGTTACTTGTTTTCGCCACGCGTCGGGTGATTGCGAGGTCAGGCCAAATTCCCCTTCATCATCTCCCAATGACAAATATGGGAGATGTTCTCAATGCACATTGAGATGTGCATGTGGGGTGCCAATCTGATCTCCGTAGTTGTACCAATATTATATATTTTCAAGTCATGAATTTGACTCGTGGTCCCTAGCCACACAAGCAACAGATAAACCAAAAAATCTATGATGCAGAAAAGATATGATATGGAAAGAGTTTTGACCGATCAAAATCCACCCATGAATTTTGATAAATAACACCTTATTTGCTACCATATTTATGATTTCAATTTATTGATCAATTGTTTTTCCTATACAATATCTTTTCCATATCATAATCGAACCCCATATGAACAGAACATAAACCATTAATACAAGAGGCATCAAATTAATCAATATAGCATCCAAGCATGGGTTCTTCCAAAGAAAAACGTATTCCAACCTCTTTCTAAGAATAATAGGGGGAAGTGACATTATTAAATATTTTCTCATTTTGATTTTTTCATAGTACCAGAGTAAACATGTAAGCTTTTCATAGGTTGGCAGGTTAGATGGGTTGGGTTGAAGCTCAGCCCAAACCAAACTCAACCCAACTCAACCCACCCAATTGCCACTGCTATCCAAAACATTGGGCCATGCTGGGTGTTGAGTTTTGAGGCCAATGGGCCTGCATGACACGCCACTGGAAATTAGCCCATGTCGGGCTAGCACAGTACTGCTCGCATGCCAAGTTGGCATGAAACCTACACGTGTCATCCTACCTGAGGAATATAGCCATTGGGGACCCTAATGGCTATTTTCAACTTTTAGGGAAAATTTACAAAAATAACCCCCAATAGTTATAAACTATTTGTGTACTTTACCTTGGGGCAAAAAATGACTTGAATGTTCTCCCAACAATTATATAACAACTGCAAGAAAAAAACAACTATATAGCAATTAGTTTGGGAGGACATATTGGTAAAGTGATTAATTAACTTTTGAAAGACCAAAGTAACTTTTGATTAATTGAATTTACAACTCTTATAAATACTCTTACATTCCTAATTCTCATTGCATAAACTCTCATACTCCACATATACTCACATATTTTCTCCTACTCTCTTAGTTTCTTAATTCATAGTCCCTAATTTTCTTTATTTAAAGTGTCAACACGGAGAAGATTTGCCAAGTGTTTCAAGTTAACAATTTGATTTGCTCAAGAGTTTCAAGTTAACAATTTGAGAGGTTTAGAAGTTTCATTAATTGAAATCAAGTTGGATACCGAATTGGCAACCGAGTAAGCAGTATTTAATTTTTTTTTCTGAATTTTAGGATTTTATTATTTTAATATTTTATATGTAAGGAAAATTACATATTAGTACCCTGTGCTTTGGACCTAATCGCACTTTGGTTCAGTCATGACTCATAAGATGTCAATCCAGTACCTAAACTTTCAAAGCGAGCCAACTTAGTACCTACCGTTGACCGGTCATTAAATAGACCAAAAGACACAAATGTCTATCATCTAGTTTTCTTTATCAACCATTCAAATGCCCTCCGACAAGTCTGAACTAGCTTTGAATTGAAACGCAGCTTTGGCAACCACGGCATGCATTTTACAGCCATCTACTACACCAACGAGACTGGTACAGGCCTCGAGAACTGAAGTGAAAGTGTAATCGTCGCCGTCGGGGTCGGGGGAACTTGACGCGTACACTTGGATTGCTCACTCAACATCAAACCAACCTTCTCTGCTTCTCGCTCTTTCTTCTGCCTGCGTTAGCCTTTCAATCTCTTGCTTACTGATCAATCGGCTTGATCGGTCTATGACGGCATTGCACTCCGTACTGGGCTGGAGTCTTTGTTCCTTGAAGAACACCAGTGATTACACTGACTCTGGTTTGCTGGCCATCTCTCATGGCTGCCCAAGGCTGGCCAAATTCGAGGTTCAAGGATGCAATAACATCACAGAGATGGGAATGAGGAATTTGCGGCTGGCATGCTTCGAAAAACACTGGTTGATGTGAAAATCTCCAGCTGCAAAAACCTCGATGCTGCATCCTCAGTGCGAGCTCTTCTACAAATTCGGGACAGGATCCAACA